AGTTTTATTTCGTGTTTGCCCTAACTTTTGCTATGCTTCCAAATCCACTATCCAAAAAAATGCGTAGTAACTAAATAATGCCCAAAAAAAACAAATTTGTAAATATTCTAACCAAAACCCATTAGCAAAGCATCAATATATTGCTGAAGAATTTATGCGAAGATACCCTGAATTAAACATTGAGCGATCAACTGTCTCTAAAATTTTTAAAAAAAAAAGACCAATATCTGCACCTTAATGAAAATAATGCAGCAAATAATCGTTATAAAAACAGACCACCCAAATATCCTTTAATTGAAAGAGCAATGAATATTTGGGTGGAACAAGTTTCAGCAGCTGGTTTAATTCTTATAGATGAGTTAGTAAAAACAAAAGCCCGGGAGTTTGGAAGACTACTTAGAATGTCTGAAAATGAATTAAAATTCTCTAATAGGTGGGTTACGAATTATAAAAAAAGAAATTCCTTATGTCATTATAAACTCCATGGTGAAGCTGCAAGCGTGCCTTTGGAATCTCTATTAGATAAAAGAATAAAGCTTCAAAACCTCCTTTCACAATACGAATGAAGGATATATATAACGCTGACGAAACGGTGTTGTTTTACAGAATGTTATCGCATCAAACATTAGTAAAGAAAGCCGTTGCTGGTTCAAAACAAATAAAATAATTTTTTTTTTAGCCCTAGTATCAAAATGTTAAACGACACTATCTATTGTTACTGTGTAAAAATTTAATATTAATCTTTATTTATATTATTGATATATAGGATAAGTCACGACTTACAGTATTATTTGTCACAAATGCAACCAGTTCAGATAAGCTTCAGCCTCTTATTATCAGTTGTTCAAAAAAACCACAAAGTTTTAATGGTATAAACCTATCACAACTTCCAGTCACTTATGAAAATAATGAACGGGCATGAATGAGATCGAATATTTGGGAAAAATGGTTACGGTTTATTAATTCGGGCTTGCGCATTCAAAATAAAAAAATTTTACTTTTGGCAGATAATGTACCATCACATAGTTCTCCTGAAGTACCTAATAACACAAACGAAGAGAATAGTATCGATAATGTTGATGACAATAGTAATCTATTAAATTCTGATGATAGAGCTGATAATGAACAAGAGCCACGTGGAAGTGCACACAGAGGTGCATGTGAAAGTGCACACAGAGGTATACGTGAAAGTGCACGTGGAAGTACACGTGAAAATGTATGTGAAAGTGCAAAAGAAAGGCCAAGAGGAAGAGGAAGGCCAAGAGAAAGAGAAAGGCCAAGAGGGAGGGTACAAAGAACTCATGCTAATTTTTAATGCAAAAAAAAGATCTCCAAAACTCTAAAGCTTTCTAATATTACCTTGCATTACCTTCCGCCCCACACAACAGCTCATCTCCAGCCTATGGACACTAGTATAATCATTCAAGTCAAAATATAAGCATCGATATTGTAAATTTGTCCTCAGACAATTCGAATCCGGTGTCGATATAAAAGAGTTTGTATAATTATTACCATAGTTTGATTGATGCTAAAATTTGACTTATTGTTCGAAAATATCAACTCTACTTAATATTCTGACTCTCTATATCAACATTAAATCTAGTGTTAGCAATTGGTCATTTTTGAACATAATAAAAATTACACGATTGGGCAATATTTAGTTACTACGCATTTTTTTGGATAGTGGATTTGGAAGCATAGCAAAAGTTAGGGCAAACACGAAATAAAACT